TTGATTTGATATATATATATATATATATATATATATATATATATATATATATATATATATATATAATATGAATATGTGTTTTTTGGTTCAGAGCCCCACCATCGTCATGTTCACCACCATCGCCGGGCTGACGGGCGTGGTCATCACGCTGGCTCTCATCCTCATCATCACTTCCTCCATGGAAATCATCCGCAGGTCATACTTCGAGGTTTTCTGGTACACGCACCATCTCTTCGTCATCTTCTTCATCGGCCTGGTGTTCCACGGTTACGGGTAAATATTCTCACATTTATCTTGGAAGCTAATATTTCGTCCTGTTCTCACGCAGCTGTTCTCGTTATGTTTGTGCTTGCAGGCGTATTGTGCGGGGACAGACTCCCGCCAGCCTAAAAACAAACACACCAGATGTTTGCGCCAATAGGTTCGAGGACTGGGGGAAGGAGGAGTCCAATTGTACTGTACCAGGGTTTGCCGGAAATCCACCGGGGGTGAGATTCCCTGAACTACTTCTATCACGTGCGACTTCATTTACAACAATCACCATTTTCTTTTTTATTGTTCTATACGTCTTTTGCCATCTAAATACCTCTGCAGGCGTTTTTTTAGTTGCTCATAAATCAAAATGCTCAGCTCATTCAGATGGCTGCTATTTCTTGAAGTTTTTCTAACTTTTATAGTTTTCAAAGTATTTAACTCATTCAGTTCCTTATAAGCTGTTGTTCTCTGAAATTTGTTTCAGCGTACTAGTTGTTTTTGTCTTCTTACATTTTTTTAACTTTTGGCTGGCATTTTGCTGCTTTTAGTATTTAGATACTTTAAGCTAGGGCCGGGCGATGTATCGATATACTCGATGCCTTCATGACATTAGTAAGCATGTGTGAAGCAGCAAAGCTGAGGAGGATTATTATTTAATATACAGTGCCTTGCGAAAGTATTCGGCCCCCTTGAACTTTTCAACCTTTTGCCACATTTCAGGCTTCAAACATAAAGATATAAAATTTTTATTTTTTGTGAAGAATCAACAACGAGTGGGACACAATCGAGAAGTAGAATGAAATTTATTGGATGTGTCAAACTTTTTTAACAAATAAACTGAAAAGTGGGGCGTGCAATATTATTCGGCCCCCTTGCGTTAATACTTTGTAGCGTCGCCTTTTGCTGCAGTTCCAGCTGCAAGTCTCTTGGGGTATGTCTCTGTCAGTTTTGCACATGGAGACACTGAAATTCTTGCCCATTCTTCTTTGCAAAACAGCTCGAGCTCAGTGAGGTTGGATGGAGAGCGTTTGTGAACAGCAGTCTTCAGCTCTTTCCACAGATTCTTGATTAGATTCAGGTCTGGACTTTGACTTGTCCATTCCAACACCTGGATATGTTTATTTGTGAACCATTCCATTGTAGATTTGACTTTATGTTTTGGATCATTGTCTTGTTGGAAGATAAATCTCCGTCCCAGTCTCAGGTCTTTTGCAGACTCAAACAGGTTTTCTTCCAGAATGGTCCTGTATTTGGCCCCGTCCATCTTTCCATCAATTCTGACCATCTTCCCTGTCCCTGCTGACAAAAAGCAGGCCCAAACCATGATGCTGCCACCACCATGTTTGACAGTGGGGCTGGTGTGTTCAGGGTGATGAGATGTGTTGCTTTTACGCCAAACATATCGTTTTGCATTGTGGCCAAACAGCTGAATTTTGGTTTCATGTGACCAGAGCACCTTCTTCCACATGTTTGGTGTCTCCCAGGTGCTTGTGGCAAACTTTAAACAACACTTTTTATGGATATCTTTGAGAAATGTCTTTCTTCTTGCCACTCTTCCATAAAGGCCAGATTTGTGCAGTGTACGACTGATTGTCGTCCTATGGACAGACTCTCCCACCTCAGCTGTAGATCTCTGCAGTTCATCCAGAGTGAGCATGGGCCTCTTGGCTGCATCTCTGATCAGTCTTCTCCTTGTTCAAGATGAAAGTTTAGAGGGACGGCCGGGTCTTGGTAGATTTGCAGTGGTCTGATACTCCTTCCATTTCAATATGATTGCTTGCACAGAGCTCCTTGGGATGTTTAAAACTTGGGAAATCCGGCTTTAAACTTCTCCACAACAGTATCTCGGACCTGCCTGGTGTGTTCCTTGGTCTTCATGATGCTCTCTGCGCTTTGAACAGAACCCTGAGACTATCACAGAGCAGGTGCATTTATACGGAGACTTGATTACACACAGGTGGATTCTATTTATCATCATCAGTCATTTGGGACAACATTGGATCATTCATAGATCCTCACTGAACTTCTGGAGTGAATTTGCTGCACTGAAAGTAAAGGGGCCGAATAATATTGCACGCCCCACTTTTCAGTTTTTTATTTGTTAAAAAAGTTTGACACATCCAATAAATTTCATTCCACTTCACGATTGTGTCCCACTTGTTGTTGATTCTTCACAAAAAAATTAAATTTTATATCTTTATGTTTGAAGCCCGAAATGTGGCAAAAGGTTGAAAAGTTCAAGGGGGCCCAATACTTTTGCAAGTCACTGTATGTAGTTTATTTTTTAGACATTTATTTTGTACAGCTGTTTGTTAATAAATGTGCCCGTGTGACAACTGGGACAAAGCTTTCACGCAAATATATTTTTGTTATTACTTTATGGAAAGAAAAAATATTGATATATATATATCATATATTGTGATTTATCTTAAATATATCGAGATATTAATTTTGGTCCATATCGCCCAGCCCTGCTTTAAGCTAGCATTTTGCAACTTTTACCTTTTTGCCTGACTTTTGATACTTTTACCTTAAACTCAATTTTGCTGCTGTTCTTGCAGCTGCCCTTTTGCTATTTTAAGCTTTTAGCTCATATTTTTTTTGTTTTCAACTAGTATTCTGTTATTTTTTGCAGTTAGCAAGCCTTTTGATACTCTAGCTTCTAGCTAGTATTTTGCTTCAGTTATACCTTCAGTAAATTTTACCAGTTTTTCTTTTTTTGTGGGGCCGAGATGGTGTAGGGGCAGGGCAGCCGATTCAAAATCCGAAGGTCCTGGGTTCAATCCCCGATCAATGCACATCTCGTGGTGTCTCTTAGCAGGACACCTAATCCCGAATTGCTCCCTGGGCGCTTACATAGGTGCCCACTGTTCCACCTGGGTGTATCCCAGGTGCGATGGGTTAAATGCAGAGAGTCAATTTTGTCTTTGTATGGGAACATACAACGATGACAACACATAGCACTTTATTATATTATTCAGCTCAGTGTTGAAACTGTATTTTAGTGGAATGTTTGCTCATTCTCTAGTTCGTATCGCTGCATCTTTTCCTGTTCTGCAGACATGGCAGTGGGTTTTGGGTCCGATGATCCTCTACGTGTGCGAGAGGCTTGTTCGGCTCTACCGCTCCCATCAGAAAGTCGTCATCACCAAGGTGGGTTCAACTTTAACCTCTTTGCAATATCTAAAGGGTCTTTGCAATATCCCAACTGCAGCATTTATCTTGTGTAACTTGGACTCCGACTCGGTCCACAGGTGGTCATGCACCCCTCCAAGACGCTGGAGCTACAGATGAAGAAGAAAGGTTTCCGTATGGAGGTGGGACAGTATGTCTTCATCCAGTGTCCGTCCGTCTCCAGGCTGGAGTGGCACCCCTTCACCCTGACCTCGGCCCCAGAAGAAGACTACTTCAGCGCCCACATCCGAATCGTCGGGGACTGGACTCAGGCGCTGTACGAAGCCTGTGGGGGAGATAAAACCGAACAGCTGGAGGCCTGGAAGCTGCCCAAGTATGATACCAGGAAAACGGGGGG